CTGATTTCCTAGGATCACTTGATAAGCCTATTTTGTTCAAGGCATACCAGTTGTACTGCCAATTGCACATGAACACGGCTTCTTCAGATACAGTGTAGAGTACTTCTGCAAGATACGTGTCCTGCAGATATCCTACAGCAACTACGCATTCCGGCTCAAAGAATATCCTGGTGATAGTTGAGTGGGTGATAGAATAGGCTTGGATCCAGAATATTGTGACTTCTTCATGTGTAGACCTAAGATATATGAACATTGACTTTCAGTCTCATGAAGAAGAAATCTTAACCCCACTAATTATATTTCAAGACCTAAATAACGATAGTTATCTGAAGTCGCATTGTTAACATCCAGTTATGAACATGGAAAGATGTCATCCTAGGAACATGTGCAGCTTTGCTGGTCTTTCTACTTTGAGTCAAACTGCTGGCTTCACATAAGAGCCACATTTTGGTTGTCCAAATCTTTAAAGGAAATAGCCACAAATAAATGTTTTGGATTTAAAGGAACACTCTTCATAAAAAGTGAGAATTTGTCTCTTGAGAATTATTTCATAAAACATGTAAAATATTACATACAGTATCCATAGCCACACACATCTACCCAATGAGAATATTGGCTTATCCCTCAAAATTATTCTTTTAGGGCAGAAAACTTCCTGTAAACATGAAACCCTTAAGTATATATTTTTCTTCAAATATGATAACTGTTTGCAAGCTGTTTCTGTAGAAAACATGCTAATTTAAAATAATTGGTCTTACTTTTGTTTTATTTTTGGAAATTCAGTACTGTATTAACTTATACATATTTTAAACATTTCAATATGCTTTCAATTTAAGGAATTTAAACTTTCTGATGCAAGTACTCAATTTTTCAAATAGTTAAACTTTTAGATAATTTGAAGAATTGTGTATATTGGTCTGCTAGATATAGATGGTATTCTAAATTCTAGTCACTCTTTTCTATATCTTAACAGATTTTTTTTTTGTCTTTTTGAGACAGGGTCTTGCTATGCAGTTCAGGCTGGGCTTCAACTCACTGTGTAGCCCAGGCTGACCTTGAACTCCCAGCAAACCACCTGCTTCAGCCTTTTGAGTGCTGGGATTACAGGCATGTACAATCATGACCAGCTTAAAAGATATTTTTAAGACATTTTACCATACTTGTGGAGGTTGTTAATGCCAGTAATGTGATCTATGTAGCTTGAAATATTCTCTGTTCTTGTTTGCCTGGGAATATAGCTCTGTGGTACAACATAAGTTTAGCATGTATGAGGCCTTGGGTTCAATCCCTAACACCCCAAATGCTATAAATATTAACAAAGAGACAGTGATCTTTGATAGACAGAGTTGCTTTGCAGAAGAAAATGAGAAGCACTTGAAAGGGATAAAACCACAGTACTGGGGAAATTCTTTTAGTTTTCCTTCATTTGAGAGTCTTGTGGGAGATGTCTTGGGATCTTGGTATAGCCTGTTGTGGATGGAAATCTAGGATCTGTGTTCATCCTTTGCTGTTGGAGGTGGAAGTCAGACTGGTTTTTCAGTAATGTTTAGCTGTCATAGAGCAATTATTGTTTGGGCATTTTCTTTCTTCTTGGACTCACCATTTTCCAGTTCTTTGGCTGGAGAGAGTAGTTCGTTCCTATTGGAGTACCAAGGTTGCTAGTTTTTAATATCTAGTTTGAGAGACAGGGTGCAGAAATAAAGCTTAGGCAACTAGCCACTTTGTGTTTCTTTAAGACCTGAGGTCCCTCATCAGTCTACCTTCTTCTTTCCACTTTTCAGCACCTTTTTATATTTCTATATAATTGTATGTCATATCCAGGGATTTCAGCTGCTCCTATCTGGAAGAACATAAAATAGTCCACTAAAATCTTTCCTAAAAGAGGAAAATACAGTGACTTAACAGGTATGACATTGTGGATGGCTTGTTCTGAGGTTGTTATCTCTGGAAACAGTTTCAAAACATAGTAAACATATCAGTGGAGAAAAAGTGGCAGAACTCAAATGGTTTGGAGGAAGTTGGCCAATTTTATGTGGTCAATTTATATGACATTGATAGTTAAAGTGAATTAATCAATCAATATGCTTCTGTAATTTGAAGTGGCTCTTTTTTAGTGTTTCTTATTGTCTTTCTGTGACTCTAAGGAAGAGATAATAAAGTATCAAGGAAAACACAATGCAAAAGCAAATATGCAATGTGCAAGATAAAGGAACAACATGAGTAATGTTTGGGAAATCAATTAAACTTGGGGAAAAGATTAAATTCTAAGATAATATATTTGTTCAATTTCTAGATTTTTGCTTATTTTTTGGTGGTGCCGGGGGTTGAACTCAGGACCTGTCATATTCTAGGCAAGCACTCTACCAATGAGCTATAGCTCTAGCCCCACTTTCTATAATTTAACTATTTTTCTATTAATGTCGATTTTTAGGCCTTATCAGTGTGGTTTAATGCTTCTCATATATTTATTGCCTTAAGGTCTTCAACTTAAAAATCACATGAAAGTGAGTGATAAATCCGTGAGCAATGGAAAAGTCATGGTTTACAAATGATAGATTTTTATCTTTCTCAGTTCAAAAAGAGTTGAAATCAAGATATTAAGTAAAGAAATAAAACTAGAATATATGTGCAATAAAACTTGTGAATTTGTTCCATAGACACTTTTAAAACTTTTCTGGTGTGTGTGTGTGTGTGTGTGTGTGTGTGTGTGTGTGTGTGTTTGAGAGAGACAGAGAGACAGAGAGACAGAGACAGAGAGAGAGAAAGAGAAGAGAGAGAAGAGAGAATGATTTCATTCTCAGTAATTTATGTTTATGAATTCTATATTAGATTATTGCTTCCACAGAATAGTTCTGTGTCTTCTCACCTTTTTAATCCCTAACTGCTGGCGTTATAACTTGTTACTATAGTAGCATTGAACATTGAATGAATAAATGTATGGGTGGATGGTAAGCAAAAATACATTTCCTTTGTTTATTTGGCTGAGTACCTCAGATAATTATAGGGATAAGAGTTGATGCTTTATTCAAAGGCTAACAATAGCAAATATATTAGAATGACACTGTACAGTGTCTCATCATGCTTGCTTTTCAAAATAACTTTTATTTGCTTTCTCTCTGAGATAAAATCCAGTGAATATTTTATACAAGTCTTTTTTATTTTTTTACTAGAAACCCAGTTAGAAGTTTTAAGAAATAGTTTATATTTTATTGATTAAAGGGATCACACCACCTTCTTCAATGTTATTTTTTAAATCCCTTTGGGGTGTTGCCATAGCTAATAATTGATGTATAAGCTGCAGAGTCACATGTATACGAAAAATAAGTAAAGTTTGTAAGTTAATGCAGACTTTCATCAATATCCATTTCTCTAGTATTGCTAAGTGTCAGACAGATCCCCGCTACTTTAATCTTTAATTTAACTAATAATCCCTTTGATACCAAGTCTCAGAAACATCACTGAGACTCAAAGACTAACCTTGCAAAGAACTTCTCTTTAGTCATGAGGAAGATAGAAAATTCTATTAATTAGGTGTGAATTTCCTATCCCCTTTATGGCAAAGTTAATTTTAGATTGAATGATACATGCTTGTACTTGCTACCTGTAGCCACACCAAGAACCACTTGATCAGATATCTAATTTCTCCTTCAACAATAGGAGACATCAGCCATGTTTACTAATATTAATTCCCCAAAAGCATGACAATATAAATGTGTATCTCCCATAGCCCATCTTCAGCTATTTCTCTTTATTTCTTTAACCCATTTAAAAAAAATGTCTGATGGGTGTATGCTATAAATATGTTGGAATATCTTGTTTGATTTTCTGCCATTCTTCTAAATATATTAATTGATTCCACTGTTTTGATTGCAAGCTTTAAAGTCAAGGATCTCATTGCGACTTTATCCTGAAAACACAGTGATCTAACCAGGAAACATAGATAAATTAAAATTTGGGGGATAACCATAAACATACACACACACACACACACACACACACATACATTTTCTTTGCTAAATATCTATCATCATGATTTGTTCAGTCATCTACGTCTCAGAAAGGTACATGTGGATGGAAGGTGATTTGAATAGGGGGGTGCTGTCCTTCTCAGTGGATGAACCATTTAGCTGAATGTGCTGTTAGGAGGCAGAGCCTGGATGGATGTGGATCAGAGAGGACATGATAAGGAAGAGTAAATTCTTATCCTTCTCCCCTCCCTTATCTCTGTACTTCTGCTCTGCCATGGAGTGGGCAGATATCCTCTCCAATACTCTTCTACCAGGCCTTCTCTGCCTTGGATCTCAGCATGGACTGAACCCACTGGAAACAGCTATATAACCTTCTCATCCTTAAGTTATTGGTACTGGATATTTTGTCCTAGTGTTAGGAAGGCTGACTAATATACTTCATCATATACACAAGGATAAGTGATATATATATATAACTTTTGTTTTTTGTTTTTTTGTTTTTTTTTTCCTCCGGTACCAGGAACCGAACTCATGACCTTGTGCTTGCCAGGCAGTATATATATTACTTTTTCATCCCACTTTCATCTTTCCCTAGGTCAGTTATTTAAATGTTGGGAAGTTGCAACTGCACTAATTAAACTCTGTAATTAGAAATTGGGAGAAGAACATTTACTACAAACTCAGGACTTGTACAAATGGTTCAGATTCCATCCAATACCAAGAATTTCATGCAGATGTAATGATAGGTGGATTTAAGTGTTAAGGCCACTATAATAATATCCGTGAAAATACCAAAACAAGTTAATTGCTAGTCCTACCAGTATTCCTTTTGGGAAGCATGTTGGAAGATTAATACACTCCGCTTTGGTGAGATAAACTCTATCACGGATATTATCAGATTTCCAAAGTTTTTCTCCCCGTCTCCAATATTCACTGGTCAGAAACTTCTGTCCTAAATAAACAACTAGGTTTGTTTCTTTGCTATTATTATGTGTTTGATTATTTGCCTAATGTAAGCCTCTTTAATTTCAGACAGAGAAAGGACGATCTGAAGTATGGCAAGAAAGTACACAAAATCCTGGCAATCAGTGGCAAAATGTTGTCATCCTGCTAGGAAAGTTAAGGAATTTTGAAGTCATTTTTCAAGGTATCAGAACAAGTGATCTAGGAGGAGGAGCTGCAATTGATGATATTGAGTTTAGAAACTGCACAACTGGTAAGTTGCTGGAATGCTGTCCCATTTGGAAATGTATTTATAAGTGGACATTTTTATCTCTCTTGTGCATTTGTAAAATGCCCTACAGTTAGGTACCTTGAATACACATGTGCAGACAAATAATTTGAAAAGTAAAAATCATTGTAAAGGTACAACTGCCTAAATAGAAAAGACCCATCTTAGTCTATTTGGGTTGCTATGACAACATGTCATAAGCTGAATGGTTTGTAAATAACAAATTTATTCTGAACAGTTCTGGAGGTGGCAACACACAAGATCAAGGTGCCGGCAGTTTTGGTGTGTGAGGAGGATTTGTTTCCTACTTAATAGATATCACTTTCTTGCTGTGTTTTCCCCTGGTGAAAGGGTGAATGGGCTACCTTTGGCCTATTTTATAAGGACAATAATTCCATTAGTACAGAGTTTGTTCCCCTTCAAGTTCATCTCCCCTTAATGACATCACCTTGCAGGATAAAATGTCAGCTTTGGAATCTGGGGGCAACTTCAGTGTTCAGATTATAACAGGACCCTCTCCATTCTCCAATTGCAAAAGTGACTCTTTCTTCCATACTACTCCCTTTGTATAGCTTTGCACAGTGGCAGTATCACAGCCAATGAGGTTTATCCAAAGGCGCGATTATTGCTAATTGAAAACTTTTCCCATACTACTCCCTTTCTAACATGTAGAAGTATCCCCTTTACATTTATTTTTAGAAATAATGTAAAATAAGCCTAAAATTTATATGTATATCTCTCATTTAGTAAGAAATGAACCAGTAAAACAGTCGCAAAGCTGGCTTTTCGTGCTGGCTTTTTGTGAACAGTAAGTTCAAACAGGTAAAGCAGAGCTTGTCCTGAGAACTTTGGTTAGGAGATTTAAAAATACTACCCCATTCCTCAGTTGATGAGGATTTGGGTTGTTTCCAAGATTTAGCTGTGACAAGTTGTGCTGGTGTAAAACATGGGTCTATGTTGTTGGTATATTACTCTTGTTCTTTTTTTTGTTATTCTCTTTAAAATAAAAAAATATTATGCCAGCTTGGGAATAATAACTTTCAAAACTTGCAATCTTTTATCATGTTCCTAAATGTGAAGTATAACTACACTTATATTTTCTTTACAAAACTACCAAAAAATACAAAAAAAATTATAAATGCATTTGTGCAATTTCACAGTTTGCCATGTTCTTTCAAAAAATTATTCCATTTGATTTCCAAAATAGTCCTGCATGATATATACAGCCAGTGAAAGCTATGCCTTCTGTGTTTTTCTATAAGGATTCGCTTGGCAGCAAGCCTCTGGGAAAGAAAAGCTAAACCTGAATGCTATTTAATTTTATTGTTGCTCTCATCTTAAAATATCATTTCACTGAGGCAGTTCAAAAATGTGACTTTGGTTTTGGTGCTGTTGTAGCATCTGTTCTTTTTATGAGCAGAGCTGCTTCAAAGGATTCTGCTTTGTTAGAAATAAATCTTTTAAAGTTTTATTTTTCCCCCCGTTTCCTGAAAAGGTGGTCGCTACTCAGTGACATTATATATGTTACATAAAATCGTAATTGATGTACCCCTTGCAATCTAGGGAATATATAGCTGCTGGTGTCTGTACCACACTGAAGACAGGGTTTGATTTGGGCTTGTAGGTGTTGGGAGGAAGGTGCCTCAATAAGGGAAAATGTGCTTCTGTTCCTATGAAAGGGAAATTGTAGAGATGAGAATGTGCTTCATAAACCCCTTTGTGGTAAATTTCCTAGTTATATGTTGGTTTTTCTATTACAGTTTGAAATACAATCTAGCAATGATGTTCGTAACTTTTTTCAAGTAAAAAAAGCTTCAAAAGTTTTTATGAGGTTTTAGAAGAAAGAAACTTTTATAAAATGAGAAATTTCTTCCTCTCAAGGGAAGCAAAATGACTGTTCTCTTGGTTGATTCAGGACAGAAGGGAACTGACAGTTATTATTACAGCTTCTCTTGCTTTTATGTAGAAGTCTGCACTGTTTCTTCCTTTCCTTGTTTTAAAATCATTTGAGAATTTACATGATTGTTAATTAATTTTGTCCAACTCAACTCAATACTCAGATAACCTTGGAGATACTTCATATTTTATATTTAGTGATATATAGTGGCAGATTTAAGCCTATAGCTCTTTCTGTGTCATCAAAGAGGAATTCTGTAGTCAACTAGTTAAATGTGATCAACTATGTTGATTAAATTTTAGGAAGAAGTAGCCATTGGATTTGAATGGCCCAGGCTGCTATCAATTAGGAGAATTTTCCAATTATTCTGTAAATAACATGAAAAATCATTAAAAATTTTGAAAACTAATAATAATGTTTTTGTAAATCCTTAGTATTAAATTACATGTCAATAAAATATCAGTGCTGTGCAAGATAGGCAGTGAACAGGACCTCAGGGTATGTGGCCTAAATTGCTTTGCACTACTGTCAGATGACAGGAAGATGATGGTTTGTGTCAAAACACCTAAAAGTAGTGGTTAAAAGTAGCATCTCAGTGAGAAGTAGTAGAGACTCTGGAGTCAAACTCCCTAGAAGTGGAATCCGAGTCTGCCATGCAGCTTGGGAAAATAGTCATTTTGTTTTGCCTTGGTTTCCATCAATAAAATTGAGATGATAAACACAGTATCTCCCTTATAGGTCTCTTAAATGGTTAGTATGCGTTTCATTCCTGGAATATAACTAGTACATAGTAAATTACTGTACTCTATTTTATTGATACAATTGCCATCATTAACACAACATGTTCTCAAATGATGCATATTGTTCTGCGTTAGGAAAGCAGCTTGAAATAGTACATGACCATATCATCACAAACTGTCTTATGGGATTTCTCCCACTTTCCGCTTTTTTTTTTTTTTTTTTTTTTTTTTTTGGTACTGGGAATTGAACTCAGGACTTTGTGCTTGCTAGGAAGGCACTTATACCACTGAGCTACATCCCCAGCCCATCTCCCTCTTTCCAGTTGAGGTAACGAACTTCAAAGGTGACTTAATTTTTATTACTGTTATATTCCACCAATAGCATTAAAGGCCCACAAATTGCATGACATTACAACGTATGTGGAATTTTCAAAGTCGGGAAATGCGGATAGGCAGAAAGCAGATTAGAACTTACTTCAGACTGAGGGAATGAGGGTGGCAGTGGCTGCTAATTGATATGAGGTTTCCTTATATAGGGAGGTGAAAATATTCTAAAATTGTTTATGGTCATTATAGCACAACTTCACGAATACACTGCAATTATCAAACATTAAACTTCACCAGGCTGAACTTTGTACCCTATAAATTATAAATCCATAAAGCTATTTAAAAAACCACTAAAACCAATAAATGATGGTGATGGTAGTGGCAGACAGCTTTGAGATTTTATTAATTCCTTATGTCAAAGTGACCAGAGTACCTAGTTAGCAAGCTCAACTGGTAACGCAAAACTTACAAACAAAATTAAATAAAATTACATCTCTATAAACCCAAATTATAAGCAATAGGGGTAAACCCCAAAGAGCAACAAGATCTGTGTGGTTTTTATGCCTATAAGGAAAAGTAGAGCAGAACTTGGAAAGAGCTAACAAATCGTCACTGGAAAGTATGGCCAGCCAGGCGCTTTTAGCATATCAGCCAATGCAGGGATGGGTTTTACTCAGACCGAGAACAAATCCATCCAAAGAATCTGTAAGTTCTGTGACCCTGAGCCTCAAAGTTGACCCACCAAGATTCCTTCCTAGGACAGTAGCCACCCTTCAAAAGGAATAAAACTGAGCAAGTAAAAGTAGCACGAGGAATAGCATCAAATGGAATGAATGAGAATAGTTGGAGGAGAGTAAAGGTCCATGTCAAAGCAGGGAAAGGGACTGCAGTCTGGTGTCTTAGTTACTTTCTCATTGCTGAGACACAATACCCAAAACTTACGCGGTAAAAGAGGAATGAAAGGTTTATATTGGCTCACAGTTTGTAGCGGTTTCAGTCCATAGTCAGCTGGCTCCAAGGCAGGGTGTTGTGGCAGGGGGTGTATCGCAGGGGAGAAACAGCTCATACATGGCAGCAGGAAGCAGACAGCAATCAAGGGAGGAGAGAGGGAGACAGACCCTTTCAGGCTATGCCCCAGTGGCCCACCTTCTCCAGAAGACTTCACCTCCCAGCACCATATTTAGCTCTAAACTCATCAGTGGGCCAAGCCACTGCTGCATATCACTCACCCATGATCCAGTCTCCTCCCCAAAGCCCTAGCTATGAGTGCATGAGGTTTTTCAAGGACATCTAGATATAAACCACAACATCTAGAAATCTCAGAAAGCAGGTCTACACACTTCTTATATACTTATATAGTTTCTAAAGGCTTTCATACTCTCCGCTCTTTTGACCCTAATCATAGAACTTCAGACCTGTCATTTTATAGCCTCAGGTTGGAAAAATGATACAATCACAATAAATAACTACATCTACGATCTAGATCTGTAGTCTCTGGGTGTATTTTCAAATTTCAGAATGATTGAGAAAAAAGTTTAAATTTGTGAGTGAAAATAAGATAAAATATATAGAGATAATTCTCTACCTGAAAATGGAAAGCTATTTGAATTTCATATTTTACTTCCCATTTAAAAACTTACAACTCAAAGTTACTCAAGGATATTTAGTGAATGCACAATGCTAGATGTATTTGTATTTCTTGGCATTCTAAATATAGGATGGTAGTATCCTCATTGTAAAATCAAATTTAGTGTGTTTTTATAAAGAAAAATAAGGTGAAAGAGTGAATATATAGTCTGTAGTCTGTCCAAATACAAACTCAGAAGGATTTCTCCTCTTAGTAAAAGTTAATAACAAAGCAAGTAACTCACTAATGGAAAACCAAGTTACAGATTATAAATATATTATACCTACTTTTTTATTCAAGTTGATGTAAAATAGTTTGTATATATACGCTATACATGCAACAACTGTTCCATAGACTAGAGAAACAGGAATAGAATTGATAGAAAAGAAAAGGA